GATAACCTAAAGTTAGGACTATTAATGACTTCTAAACTATATTCAGTTTTTAATTATGCAGAACACTTTATAGATGTTTGCAATACACATTTTTTGAATCGGATCCCACAGATGAGATATGCGAGGAAATGTCTAAATTATAGGTTATAATGAATCTCTGGCATGAGGTGGATGCTTAAACTGCTCAGGACTGTAAAGACTGAGGTACCTTAGCCCATGCCGAAAGGAGATCTTACATAATGTGAACTTCCCTGCTGCAAAGTGCTGCATAAGGATTGTTCAGTAGCTAAGCAGAGTTTTTACAGATCACACTGTTGAATGTAGGAGCTAAACTATGCTTAACTCCCTCTTTGGGAGCTAAGTCATTAGCATGTGATTTTATGTGTATAATATGAACGGTTGAAGTTACTCAAACCGTATCTACTAATAAGATGGGCAGGGAAAAAGAATGTTACATGTTTAATTTAGTATTCTGCCCTGTACAGACATTGAGTTTTGTCCTAGGGTTTTTTTTTTTGTTTCTGGCTTTTTTTGTGTGTTTTGTGATGTCAGCCAAGTTCAATATCCTTAATCAAATAAATTTTAAAGAAAAGGAGAAATAACACATTTTTTACCTAAACTTTCAGAGTTTATTCTCATGAACCTCTTTTTACTCCACTGTCCACAGGAAAAAGAGACATAAGCGAGTAAAAGAGAGATAAGCAAGGACATACAGGTATTCATTTGTTTAAAGTTAGCCAGTATCTGAGCGCATACATAAGATACTCATGTTACTGCTAGGTCATAAACTAAACTGAGAGTCAGAATATGTATTTGCAGTACAAAGGAACAGGGAACAGTAAAGAATTTTACAAATATGAATTACAGAAATCTCTTGAGGAATAGAAACATAAGAACAAAGCGCATTCATAAATCACAGTTAGCATCCATATAAAGATCGGAAAAAGCAGACAAAGAATTCCATTTACTCCAAGGTTATATATGCTCTATTTTTTTAAATCTGGAAGCCAAGCAATTTGCTGAGAGCCTCCTGAGATATTCTGACCATAAGCAAATTCTAGTGATATTGATGAGAACTGTGAGAGAGCAGCACCTTTGTAGACAAGATGAGACTGCTTTGTGAGCTTTCTAGGGGATCAGATAGCTGAGCTGCAAAAGCTTAATAGAAGCCAGACTATACCTTACTAGCCCATATACATGCCAGTCTTTGTCTAGTCCAGTTTTATGGTATTTCACATTAAACAGTGATCTTGCAATCTGTTCTGTGTCACTGGGTAGTCATACGTAGTGACAAGTTTAATTGCCTGATGGGACTAACATTCCACATGAGTGCAGAGTACTTCTCTGAATCAGGATTCAGTAACTTAACAAAATTCTTTATTTCATTATGACGCAGTTTGCCATGCCTCAGGTTTCTTGTTCTTGCTACTTGTAAAACAGTCCTTACTATTTGAGTGATTGGCTGTGTGAACTATGCAAAATAGGCTATTCATTCCTGTTTTCTCTCTGTGTTTTGCTTAAGTTTCATGATGTCATTGTAGGTAACCTTCGTCAAAAGGAAAAATCTAAATACAGTAGACAAATTACTGTATCTGCTGTTCAGAACTCAACTGTAGTAAGAAAATATATGGTTTCCTCTCACTGTCGCCTCCTGTTGATTTAGCAGTGAATTCCAATGAAAAATATGAGTTGTGGTTCTGCGACAGCAAGTCTGGTTTACAATCAGTTACCACACTGAGAAACATCTTCATTACACATCTGAGAGAAATTTGGACTTAGAATTCTATACCCTGGAAGAAAATAGTCTTGACCCTGACTTGCTGGATGGGCACATGAGGGTGTCAAAGACAGTATAAAGAACTACTCAAGGACTTTCTTAATGATTTATATATACTCTAAACCATCTCCTCAGCAGGTAAAGAGCATGACAAAAAACTGTGGCTTTAGTGAGACAGTAAAATGCACTGGTCCTTCCTAAATATTGCAATAGGCTGTTTTAGGTAATAAGAAGTTATTGATATCACTCCATTGATAGAAATGAACCTAAACTGGCCCCAAAGTGGGAGCATAATCAAGTTAGTGTGCTTCCCAAGTTCTGAGGATGCACACTGACTCCAGATCTTCCTGTCTCCAACTTGAGATGAAATCACATTGAGATAATCCTCCTTCTATAGCAATCCTCCTTCTACAGGAATGAGATTTAATAAATATTATAAATAAAATAACAACCAGGATTACACTTTTCCAAGTGCCTATTCAGATGGTCATGATGATTTTACTACCTCTACATCCTAAATATGTTCGGTACTGAACATCATCCACAGACCATGTGCTACATCTCTTCTGCCTACTATTAACTCCATAACCTCAGTACAATAACTCCTGATTCATGCTTGAATAATCCAGAGCAGAATTTGACCCAGCTTATACCAGAATATTGCAGATAAAAAGGGCTAAGATTCACCTTAGCACTTACACTTTTAAGAACCACTCATTCTCCACAAAAGGTCAATCTGTCTTGCAGAAAACTGAAAAACAAGCTACCTTACGACTTCCACAATTAAGTTCAAAGCAGAGCATACAAGCAAAACAGAATAGCAACTTGAATGAAAGCAGTAGCCCAGGCTCGGTCAGTCAGTCTGTTTATAGAGCGGGATTATTATTATGATTAGCGCAAGTGGACATGGATAATCCTCTTTCTGTTTCTGTGACACATCTGTAGATCATCCTCCATTTAAATGTCTGTTGCTTGCCATGTTACTGGAAAACACAAAACCAAACATCTGTGTTCCAGATAGGCACAGCCTCAGAATATGAATGTCATTTAATATCCATTCAAAACATGATACTAACCACTTAATACATAGATGGCAAAGTGGAAGAAGGAGGGATATGACAAGTTGGAACTGTTGATGGGTTGTGGGGGAAGAAAAAAGGCAATAGGTAAAAGAGATACATACAGAAAAAAAGCACTTTTTTTTCTTCTCCCCCCCCCCCCCCAATAAGATGTTGTTCTCTCAACCTTATTCTTATACTAAAATCAGCTGTAAGGAATCCATCTCTCCCTATTTTCAGTTGGATACCAGTCCATTCATCAATGAGCAGAACTTGGCATCATGTTGCAGCAACGTCATTTGTTCTTATACTCTGGCAATAACACTGACCGTTAAAAGGATAATTCCTGTTATAACTCTATTTTAAGTCATACATGAGATATCAGGTGTGTTACACTAGTCTTTTATCTAGAAATTGTGGCCCAAGTACCAGTATAGGCAATGTATTTCAGAAAATGCTTCTTTTCCTTTTAACAACTCGGTCATTTATCTAATTGACTAAAATCTGTTTCCATGCATAGAAATCCTGCAAGATAAACCCCAAAAATGCTGACAGTGGGCTACATTTAAGTGAATGATTGTCAATAAATCACTCCCAAAGAATGACTTTGGAAATTGCATATATAACACAATTTTGCTACCTTAAAACGATTCAAATGTTACTATTCCATTTTACAATAGATATATATGCTGTTGTATTGTAAGTTATTTACATTGTCTAAGACTTCCCTCATCAGCTTCAGTCATTCAGTCATCTAGTTCTGCTGACCAAAAAAGCTGCTTATTCAAACCCAAAAGTAGTATGTTGTGCAATCTTGTGAACAAGATTTTTCATCAATAGGCTGGAAATAAATTTTGCAGTCCTTTATTGATGAAGCTTTAGACTCAATCACAATGAAAATGTTGCATGATAGCATTGGTTTTTAGAGTCTAAGGTATTTCTCTTGCTCCCTATTAACAGAAAACTTGAATGTTTCATGTCAAAACAATACAAACCAACTTGACACTCTAGGCATTCTTCCATATTTTCTCAGTCATCAGACAAATCTTATGGCTCCTGCCATGCATCCACATTACTAATGGTGGTCCTGGGTAGTGGCAGTAGCAGAAAGGTTTTTAAAAATTTCCTCTCATTTAATACTACTGTGAAAGTGGGTAACTGATATCCATTAGAGCAGGCTTAGAGCCTGTAGTAGATCCTATCTGTAAGCTATTTCTGCAAGGAAGAAATCTATTACTTCTACTCTTGTGAAAATAAAAAAAATGGCAACTTGACCACAAATAAAACAGATGTACATAATGAATATACATGTCAGCCTAGTAACTAAGAGGTAAACTCTATATGTTCCCGAGTTCTGGTTAAATTTTTAAGAGTTTTCATGCAGCTTTCTGAAGAGTAATTGGAGCTGGCTACAAATACTGCACAAAATATAGGAATAATATAGTTTCATTTTACCATAAATGAAAATAAAAATAGTCCTATTACAGTTAGGATGAGCATTTGTCTTCAGTTGTATGCATGAATCTGCTGGGGGAATAATGAGATATATTTGAAAATGAAATGTCATCCTAAAAAAAAAACACTACAGGAAAATTTATCATTCATGTCTTCAGCACCTGTAAAGTTAGTCCATTTTCTTTTGTGCAGCAGTTTTCTGTTTCAGCAGCAGCTAGTTTGGGGACTAACAGCTTGACTCCATTCAGTGAGTGTTTACTAAAACTCATCAGTGGGCTCAGCCAGTGAAGACTGCACTTAAGCCAGCCCATACATGCTATTTTGTTTAAACTTGATTCATATCTACATAAACTTCAGTCATACCAAATGTATTGCAATTTAGATACACCTTCTTTTCTTTTCTTTTTAGCTCCATCTTTTCTTTTTCTTTCTGTCTTGTAGCTTCCATTTGTTACCATGTTAAAAATATGGAAAGTACATATTCTTTTATGTTTTTACGGCAAAGATTTAGGCCACAAATGCACCTCTGCATATTTGTATTATTTTTGTGATTTCCTTAGGTTGCGCTATAGAAGAGAAGCAGCAGCAATAAAATCAGAAACCTGAGTAAAAAGGTGGAGAGAAGCCTAATGATCACAAAACCTAAAACTCTGTATCAAAAAAAATCACCCTTTTTTTTTTTTGTCTCCCTTTTCTTTTTTCTTCCACAGCATTCTGACTCCAACTGTAACCTGAAAAAGCGAGTAAATTCCGTAGCATCTCAGGCAGATCAGTCTCCTGAAGCCAGCGTAATATCAAATAGTGCTTCCCAGTGTCAATCAGTGTGTGCTCCTCCACCAGCCCCACCACCACTACCACCACCACCTATTGGAGGCACCAGTAAAATAGACCAGTATTCTAGGATCCTCTTTCCAGTGGCATTTGCAGGATTCAACCTCGTATACTGGGTCGTTTATCTTTCAAAAGACACTATGGAAGTGAGTAGTAGAATTTCTGAATACTTGCTTATAATATATAATATGTTTACTTGACCAATATTATTTTAATTGTTCATTTACTCTTGCAACTCCAGTTAACCACTCCTTTCTGAGGGAAGTTACTGATAACAGTTTTCTCTAAAAAATTGGCTCTGACTTCCAGTAGTAATGGCACTCAGTACAATGCAGAAAGGCTATCTGAAGATGAGAAATGTAAACACGTATCTCTATGCCACATTGCACTGAGCAGAACACATTGTGTAAGACAACGTATGACGCCATTCTCAGCAAACAAACTAATCTTAAATCTCCCATTTCTTAATCTTCTTATCTGCAGTAAGGAATGGTAGAATTATCTGTTGAAGCAATGCAGTGAAGGAGATAAGAACTTTAATACCTCCTAAGGTTTGCTCAGTGAGGTAATAAGATAACAGTCTCCCCAAAAAAGTTCGTTATTCATTCTAAACATTTATCCATAGTGTGAAGAATTGACAACTGCAGTATACAGTTTGTGAATTGATTCCCTGTTTTTACACATTTTAATACTGATTTTTCCTGTTTATTCATATAGCTGAACTGTTTTATGCAGATAAAGCTGCTAAATTCTTTGCTTAAGTTTGAATCAGGCAGAGAATGATCATGTCTTTAGATATCCATGAAGTCCAGAAGAGATGTGTGCCCTGCAGATTGAGCATGTCTAGAATAATCAGTCAGTGATTAGTCATTAAAGTTTAAGTCTTCAATGCTTTAATTCTCTAGTTTTTCCCTTTTGCCTAAATACAGCTAATGATGTCCCATTTCTTTGGTAAAAAATATATTCATTTGCCTCGTTGCCATAGAATTTTTGAATCTCACTGTACATTGCAGTCAATATGATTGGTACATTTAGCTTTATTTAGGACAGCTAGAGAGATAATGATGGTATTTAGATAGTACTGAATGCACAAAGTCCCTACATCAATAAAAACAGAGGCTGGCAATCTGGTATGAGTGGTGAGCAGATTGCACCTTTATTTCCTAGATTAGAGGTAAAGCAGCATGAGGGAAATCTCGTGGACAGCCAAGAGATGTTGCAGTTCAAAGTAACAAGACAGTGCTGATCAGCTGATTGGTGGCATCTTGCCTCTGCTTGAAGCAGAGGCTACTAGCCACTAATTTTGCTGATTTTTGCTGCTAGTATGATCTGGAAAGTGCTGTCTCTCGAAGATGGAGTGTGCTGCCAAGCAGCTTATATGAAATCAGGAGGGCAGGAAGATAGGAGGCACTGTCACTTACAAATGTTCCTGCAGATGTCTCTCTCAAGAGGTCACAGCTGCTGACTCCTGGCCACTCAAAATCTGCCCAATGCTAAATTTAGCTTTTGTGCCAGAGTTACTGATCCTGCTATTAAAATATTGACTATGTGTGCAAATTACTTATCTCAATCAGAGAAGGGAAGTATCAAAAAAGCTCATGTATAATCATTACAGCTCCTGTTTAGAGGCCAGTTCCTCAGCTTGTGTAGCTTGCTGTAACTCCAGTGATTTCATTCAACCATTCACATTTTGGATCTAGAAATATTTGGAACACAGTTGCCATTTCCCTTGGTAGCGATGAAATATTTACACTGAACCTTGTATATTAATAGTTACATTAGAACTAGGCTTTTAAAATACTTCTGAAGTTTAGGACATAGCGCTGACTATAAATATTTTTAAAATGCCACTTTTGCAGGTTCACAAATGTGTTCACAAACTCAGAAATTATGTTCTGTAGTAGCCTTATAGAATGACAGAAATCCAGCAGCAAGATTTAGAAAACAGAACAGTACTGACAGCTGAGGTGTTTTGAATTATGAAAATGTAAACAATTATGTAAATTGTTGATCAAGCTCTTCTTTATAAATTACATTTTCCTGTTCGCGTACTCAGTTGTAACTAATAACAATTGTGATATACATTGCTAGGTTTCTAATTCAATATGTTGCATCACTTTACCAGCAGTTACTTTAAAGGAAAATCAGGATTGTTTTTGCTTTAAAAATATCTTTTAAAATATGTAAGCCTTTCCATTGGAGCAGAGGAGATACAAAAGTTAGGTGAACAAAGTATGGCATGCTTCAAGGCCAGTTCAACTCAGTCACAGGCTCAAGCCCAAGAGATTAAATATTGGTATAGTATTATTCAGTTAAGAAACCTAATTTCATTTAGAAAGCGCATTTTGTGCAGCTTTTCAGGTATATTAACTTTCCTTTTTCGAGTTACTTCTTTCAGTTCATTTGGCTTTTGTTTGAAAAACAAAATGGAAAAAAAAAATCTAATCAGTTCATTGAAATAACCAAATTTCCTGCGCACAAGTTCTTGCAGTTCAGCTTTCCAGGATTTTTAGTGTAGTTTGGAGTGCAGAGCATCATTCACCAAAGACTGTCATTGTGGAGATTCCTAAACCAAACAGCTACCTACTGTCTTTGGACAGTGCATGTAGAATAAATCACGAAGCATTTCATGAATCTGTTTGAAAAAGCAGGCTATTAGCACTGGAATCAAAGATAATTTCAACTCATATCATTATCTTCTGGCCAGATTCTTCCTTTAACTTTGAAGGAAGTGCAAGAATCATTTTTAACTTCACATTCTGGATTCAGAGGATCAGGTAGAATGAGCAGCCTTGTTAATGTAATGGCTCGGAGTTCCATGAAATAAGGAGCTCTCTCCTAAGCTGTTGGTAGTATTTCTGTGCACTACTAAGCAGTTTTCTTGTGGCTTAAGTAATGGGCCATATGTTACACCAATGAAGTCATCATTCTTGTGTATTGTATCTGATAATATTTATAAGAATCTTCAGGCTTGAGTACTTTTCAAAGTACTCATTGGAGTACCTTTTTCTTCCCCCTCCATTTAATCATTTTCTTTTTGGAAGACTTCAGGTTAATCACCCTTTCTTTTACTTTACATGTAAACTAAGAGTATGTTAATTACACAGAAATTATAGGATTTGGAAGTTTGTCTAATGAAGAAGGTGTTTCTAATAAAATGTATTCCTTTAAAGATTTGAATATTGTTTTTCAGAGTGGCCAGGATTGGACAGATAGCAAGAGTATCTTAGACTGAACTCTGTACTGCTGTATACACTGAATCAAGTCCAGCTCAGCAAACCAGGAAGTTTAGTAGCAAACTTTCATTATAAAATTAATCTTTTGCTTCATTTTTAAGCAAAATAGAAGCATTCTCTGAATGAAAAAATGAAAAAAATGAAAAAAAATTCCAAGTTGAAATTAAGTGCTTCAGCTGAATGCTTTTTACATGTGGATGGGCATAAAATTATCTTCTGGCCTTAATATTTAAATAAATGGTTCTATTCTCCAGTGGGACAAGTGGGAAAACATTCTTATTCAGTGGCAGTCACCCACCATGCAACTTGATACATAAGATATTTCAATGTAAACTCGTTTGCATTGTGGAGTAGCAATAGCGTTGCAGGACAACAGTTATACTGGTAAAAGTATAGAAATGAAGCTAATATAGTTCTCTGCCTGCATTTTGCTAGACAGCATGTTTAGAACCTAATATAACCAAAGGACAACAAGTAGAAAAGGAAAGATACTTGAAAATATATATATGAAAGAATCCTCAGTTGAAATAATAGATGCCAGTTTTTAGACCGCAGAAAATGCTGACACTTGTATGATTAAGCCTTCCTTTCTCTCAAAAGGTTTTACAACTGTAATGCTGACAGATGCTTAATTATAGCAATATCACTGTGCCACTTATAATATTAAAAAAATAAGCATTACAGTTAGTCTAAGAGGACTTGTCCCTCACTACATGAGATCTGTTGGTAATTAATTTAGATGGAAGGTTTGAAGATGTGATATCCCCATGATTTATACATGCAGAACAGAACAGGCATGTTTCTATGATGCGTGTACTTCTGTACAGTAGTATCTGCCATCCACAAAAAGCTCTATACAGGAACAAACAATACACATTTGTCTAGATTAGCCAAATAGAGAAGTTCTTGAAAGGAGAACAAACGTATCTGACAAATAAGAAAAAGTTTTTCTAGCTTTTTATTTTGTCATACAGCATTTTTTGGCTTTGTTTTTGGTTTTAAATCCTTGAGCTGAATACTAATTTATGACAGTGACCTTGGTAGGTGAATTGCATGCTTAGTTTATTTTAAAATATTTGCTTGATTTAGAATGCAGAGTGCCCTTTTAATGAGAAGAATACAAGTACTTCATCTCTCTCTGCCATATCATTCTCAATGCATATACTGTTTTCGCATTTTCTCACACATCTTTCTAAAGTAACCTGTCTTTATTTTTATATGTAATGTTATATTACAGTTTTTAATGTAATAAAACACGGACTGATGGAGTAAATCAAACTAAAGAAGGATATGATGTTAAACTTTTGATGATAAACTGCAGAGAAACAAGCAGAGGCCAGCTTTTATGTTTGGGAGCAGAGGAAGGTACAGTGTCACTGAATGTGCTAAACATGCTGAGTCCTGGATATTATTTGGACACAGAGAACATAGTACGAAGGTAGAAAAAGAGTTACATAAGAAGTGAAAGGAAAGATGAGATGCTAATGATGTCAAGTGGGAAGAAACAAGAACAGAGAAAGAAACAAGAACTGGAAAAGTATTTAGCTTCAGTATGTTGATATTCATAAAGCTTGCAGTGCATATTGTTACATCATGTTTCAGTTTAAACACTGGAAAAATAAAGTTCAGGAGAAAACAGTTATTGCCATACATACTTACAGCTGAGGTTTGATGATCCAGGTAATGAACATCAAATTCTAAGAGGATACTCCCTTGTAATGCAGTTCTATTTTAAGTCTGCTGAGACAGAAATCAGGTGGTTTTGTTGGTTAACTTGGTTGTTAACAACTCAGAGCTTAAACTTCTCTCTAAACTTTTCTTCCAGTTTTTTGAACCTACTGCAATGCATCTTCGAAATGACCATCAGTCCAGCTGAAGAACAGCTCAAGGTTTCAAAGAAAGCACTGAAGGTTGTGTAGGGTTGAAGGGACTTCAAACGATTTGTCTATCCACAGGTGCTCTCAATTTTCAAACAGGGAATAATTATATTGGACATCACCTGGAAACAAACTCTGGACAAATCAAATAGATAGAAACTGCACAGGTTCTAACAATACTTTCTTAAGATTTCTTACATTAATTCTACTATAAAAGTTCTTGCTAAATTATTTTGTTCAATTGTCAAAGAAAAGAATGTGCATTTGTTCTAATTCTGTTATAAACAACTGAATGTTTACATTGATATAAAACATCAATAACAGCATTATTTTTTTTTTTAAATACAATAAGGATTGCTAAAATAAGCCTGATTCTGAACTGCTATATCTTGGCATGGTTTCACTGAAAGGTTTGGAGCTGCACTGATTTGCAGCACTTGAAATTGACCCAAAATAATGTTAAGAAATCCTACAAAAGGGAGCTGCAATCCCATCATATTTTCATAACCCTTTCATAGAAATTATAAATTCTGATTTTCTTTAATTTCATTTTAATCTCCTTTTAATTAAGATAATATTTACAAAGAATAAGATACAAGAAAAAAAGAAATAGAAACTGTTGTTTACATACTTTAACTGGTTAGTTGTGATAGTACAACATTTTTTTGTTGATAGTGACCATGGAAGTACAACCAGACTAATAACAAACAATTTCTCGGCAGGATCTAGAAATGCAGCACTGAGATGTCAGCCAGTTTTCAAGGTCTAAAGCTGAATAGACAGAAAGATGCAGCTACCCATCAAGCTAAATGCACGCCTCCAGCTCTAGGGAACTTCCTGGAAGCAAGTCTTGATAGCTAGTTAGGGAACAAGCTGTATTTTATCAGCTGACTCTACTGAATTGCCCATAGCAAACTCCCTAGAACTTCTTTCCAGAGGCAAAGTAATGTCAGCATATTCAGTTTAAAGGTAATAATATTTTAATTTATTTGTCACTCTCAACACAGTCACAGGATTTTTCTCATATTTCTTAGTCCTCTATTATTTTAATTCATCTCCATAATCCTTCTTAGGAATGTAATTAGGGAAGATACGCCTAATCAAATCAAATCCAAGCTAACTTTGTTGCAGGTATAATGGACACTGGTGGGAGTCAAAAGCACACAAAGAAGTTTTACATGCAGCCAAATAAAAATTAAGGACCTCTATCTTGAAATTAGTTTTAGTATATTAAAATTAATTTTAATAGAAACATGAAGGGCTGCATTGATTCAGGAAATTCAGGGTCTTCTGCTTTGTCTAAACAAACATTTTAGTCACTCTGAGAAAATATTTAGGGGCTGACTAATTGACTCCAGTAATGTGTCAATTGCTTTATTGGCACTGTAACAATTTTAACTAACTAATGACCTAGCTCCAACTGTTTTCCCCCTATTTCAAGAGGAATATATAGCTTTTACTAGTGTGATGGCTGGACTAAACATGTGAGATCACTTTTTGTATTCCCTGTTCTTTAACTCTGAAGAGCTTAGATGGGGACAATTTAAGTAGATTCGAGTCAATAATAACTATTGTTTGCACAGAGATGTTATATTTGCAGTTTGCTTTTCCTGACTGGCCGCAGGCTAGCACACTTGGATATATTTGTAAGTGCAATGAATTCTTTCCTGATTTTGCTTTGAAACTAAAATTATAACAATTTCTCCCATTTTCAGCCTTTATATACTATTTTTTAAAAAAAATTAAAATATGGGTACTGGGCAAGTATTTTGTAATTTGTGAATACATCTTATTTTGCATAAAGCAAATTGTGCTGTAGGGACCCAGAGGTTATTTTTCAGTGTAACTATACTCATTCTTGCCTCACTGACTAACTCTCTATTTTGAGTACATTAATATCTATGAGAGTTTTCAGAGTACTTTAAAATTGGTTTATGCACAAAATGAAAATGTTTAAAAACTATGGGAAAATAAGTGACACTGAAGAAGCTAAATTTTGTATCTGATCTTTATTTAAAAGAAATCTAATATGAATTTTACAGCAGATGCAGAGAGTTACTAAATAGTCACTATTTCCTTGGAGTGTAGTATTTCAATGTATAAAATAGTAGTAACTTCCTGATTAGGAAGCTATATCAGCACCTTACAAATGTAGTAGCAGCTCTTGGTATTTAACAGCATATTTCAACGTGACCACGAAGACTGCTTATCTTTTTTCAAAAGAGCTTTTCATGTGGAAAAGACAGAGAAGGGTTGGTTCTCCACATCTGTTTGAATGGTAGGAAGGGAGTATGTATTTTTCCTATTACATGCTTTGTAGAGACACAGGTGTAATCAATAATAATGTTAATAATGTCAAGTTATATCTTAGAATAAATGTAATTACTTACAATTAATGTCAGTTTTTAAAAATCCTGGTTATGGTCAAACTCTAACCAAACAAGTAATACAGTAAAAAAAAGCAGATAAATAGAAAATGTTTTATATATATATGTATCTATATATTTATGTATGCATATATACATATGTATTTCTGTAGAAAATATAAATAATATATATTTCTCTTTTTAAAACAAATTTAAAGGAAGTGAGGGCATATGGGTTTCTTCCAGTGTTTTTGACTGTATTGCAATAGGAAGAGCAGGAGCTGAAGTTGCTGTAAGATGGGAATTTGCATGTGCAAAACAGGACACTGCGGGGGGCGAAGATGAGCAGTTACCTTGAGCTATCGCACTCTGGTAATACATTATTCAACATTGACCTAACTTTCTGTGTATCTCAGTAGAAAGGATGCTCTGGTTTTAGCCCTAAAAGCCCTCCAAGGGACAGACTGTAGCTTAAATTCATCTTTCGCGTGCTTGATCAGAAGTACAAGAAATGGAAGAACTAAGAATACAATTACAGAACTATGTCATAGTACAGTAGAAACCTCAATTACATACTAGTCTTTATTATTACTGATCTGGGTTTTTCTCTTCCCACCCCCCCTTATTTTTTCATAATTTCTAAACCAAATAAAAATCCAGCAGTTTTAAGATACAGAAACTATGCAATGGCATGCCAGATCAGCCCTGAGATCATCCACTACTGTGTTCAAAGGATAGTCCTCACCAGAAGCTAAAGCAAGAGCCGGATAAACCATGTAAATGTGAAGATGAAAGTCCTTAACACTTTTGATATAACATACTGTCCAGTGTTTTGATATTTTGATGCATCCTGTCATGTTACTAACTCAAGGCCTTTCTCTTATACATATGCAAACAAAAGTCAGAAGTGACTTTGTCATTGCTTAGTTCATTACGCTCTTGTTTCTCTTCCTGTTCATGATAAGAAGAGCATTCGACACCTGCCTTCTTTATAGAAGTCATTCTTGCAGGATTTTCCTCTAATCAGTAAGCAATCAAAGCCTTTCAACTCTCTGCATAAATGCTGTCTGTCACCTGGCTTTATGGAGAAACCTGTGAAGAAAAAAGTCCTTATTCACAGGCAGAATGGGTAGAGACTTGGGGAGTAAACTATTGTGTTCTGCATCACTACTTCAACAAAATCATCACTCAGCCATGGCTGGAGTGGTGCTTGCATACAAAGAATAAAGAATAAAGTACACTGGAAGTTAATGACAAAGCACAAATGAAACTCAGCCATGCTATCTGAGATGCAAGTCTTAAAACAGAAAGTTTGATCAAGAGAGACAAAGGAATCCAAAGAAACCAAAAGAATCCCCACAATTGTAGAACAGGAAACAGAATTCCGTATATCTTGAGAGTTCTTAGAAAAACAAACTATTCTTAATCCTAGCTAAAACAAAAATATATGCAATCTTCTAAATACAGATGAGGAAAAAACTCTAACTTGTGTATTTAGTGCAGTTACATAAAAGCAAGACAACACACGTCATTGCAGAACTTCATAAACCATGTAACATGAATTTTTGCTAAATCACTTTGCAACACATTTGAATTGTTATCAAAGAAGTCCTTAGTTCATGAAAACATGATCTGACCTCTATTATGCCTAGACTATTTTTCACTCCATAAATAAGAGACATCTCTAATAATTTTAAGGTACTAAATCCTTTACATGCCTTAAAGAGCAAATAAGCCTTCTATAGCCCATATATATGAGCTGCTGGAGCGTGTTTAGAGAAGGGTAACAAGGCTGGTGAAGGGCCTGGAGAAAAAGCCTTATGAGGAGCGGCTGAGGGAGCTGGGGTTGTTTAGTCTGGAGAAGAGGAGGCTGAGGGGAGACCTGATCGCCCTCTACAACTACCTGAAAGGAGGGTGTAGTGAGGTGGGGGTTGGGCTCTTCTCCCCGGTAACTAGCGATAGGACAAGAGGAAACGGTCTCAAGTTGCGCCAGGGGAGGTTCAGGCTGGACATTAGAAAGAACTTCTTCACTGTTAGAGTCGTTAGGCATTGGAACAGGCTCCCCAGGGAGATGGTAGACTCATTGGCCCTGGAGGGGTTCAAAAAACGTTTAGATGTGGTACTTCAAGACATGGTTTAGTGGACATGGTGGCATCAGGTATACGGTTGGACTTGATGATCTTTGAGGTCTCTTCCAACCATAATGATTCTATGATTCTATATATTTACATATTCAAGCACTACTGCAAAGGTTTTTTCTCCCCACCTCGTACCTGCTTTGTTTATAATAATGTTTTCATAAAGCAGATAAAAATATTTTGCTATTTAAAACTAAATAAGACTAACAATCTAAAACTCTTTACTGGAATACTTAAATCTGCTATTCCTGTACATTAAAAAAAGCTTCATTACTATAACAGAATGCCAGCTTTGCTTTGGTTAAAGTTAGGAAATACCAACGGTTAGAAGTTGACTTGTCTAAGGGCTGTAAACTTAGTGTGCTGATTTAAACTACAAGACATGGTGTTCCCAATAGAGATATGGGGAATAGTTAAGAGATTTAAAAGTGGGTTCTCAGCAAAGAAGTCACAGGTTCTATCTGCACATGAAACAAACCATAGTAAAAGACAAATACTAAAGCTGGAACTGTGCCCTTTATTGTCTGCTTTCATCCTCTCTCAACTATTATTTAAGTC